GACAAGCCTAAGCTATAGGTCAAGCTTTTATAATTAATAATAAGTCTCTGTGCCATTTTTTTCTCTGTGCCATTTTTTTGTGAGCTGACAGACCAAAGAAAAATCCGCCTACACTTAGCTATTCCTTTCCTCCCTCTCTTCTTCCCTCCCTCCCTCCTTTCCTTTTTAAAAAAGATTTATTTATTTATTATGTATACAACATTCTGCCTCTATATATGCCTGCACGCCAGAAGAGGGCACCATATCTCATTACACCTGTCTCAGAGACAGACAGACAGACAGACAGACAGACAAAACATTGTTTTTATAACCTCAAATATATTACATGTGGGCAATAACATTAATGGCTTCCAGAATCATCACAGATGAAGCAGAAACATCTGTGTCTGTCTGTCTGTCTGTCTGTCTGTCTGTCTGTCTGTCTGTCTGTCTGTCACACACACACACACACACACACACACACACACACACACACAGCCTGAGACTGTCTCAAAGAACACCTCCCCCAATTATGAGTTCAAATTGGGATTGGAGAATTCTGACTTAACCTTACACTTCTTATCTCTGCTTATGTGACTCAGGAGAGCAGTTTGTAGTGCTGTCGTCAGGCTGTTTCACTAACAGGCTGCCCCACAGCTCCCTTTCAAGCCATGGAAAAGAGTTTCAATGTGTGTGGGTGTGGCTAAGGCCACACCCACATAGAATTTACCATCTTCATCTCACCTCGTTTCCTTTCTATTGTTTTTGAAAGTGGGTCTTATTATGTAGCTCATGCTGCTCTCAAACTTACAGTCCTCCTACCCCATGCAAATTATAAATGTGTATGACTATGCTTGGCTAATTTGGGTTCTTTAATTTTTAGGGGTTGCTTTTTAAATTTTGACATATATGTGTATATATGCCATGTTATATATACACATGTTACATGTGTATATGTATTGAGATTTATTTTAAATTGTTTATATGTGTATGTCTGGCGGTGGTGTGAGCACAAATGTGTGGTGCCTGAGGAGCTCAGAGGTGTCAAATCCTTTGGAACTGGAATTACAGGCAGCTGTGAGCCTGACATGAATGCTGGGAACTGAACCTGGGTCCTCTGCAAGAGAAGTATTCATTCTTAGCCACTGAGCCATCTCTCTAGCCCCTGCTTTTATATTAGGTACAAATACTTTCAGATTTGAGCAACACTGGAGTGGCCTCAATTCACACCTGTCCCCCATCTACCCACAGATGTCCATTTGAAAATTTCTGCCCTTTAAAGCGGGTGTCTCTCATGGCTTCTCCTCTCTACTGTTCCATTCTCAATAATGGGAGATTCTGGGTTACTCAAGGTCACTGAAGACAGGAACAGGGAAGCCAAAGCCAGAGGCAAGAACATCACGCCTGAGGGATGGGGACATGCCAAGGGGCAGAAGGGACAGAGCCACCAAGTTATGGCCTAAAGCACCCATCTTTACGGAATTTCAAGTGAGATTAACCAGGATGAAGCAGGAGCTTCCAAGTTAGGGTGAGTCAGTTTGGACAGAACAGTTAGCCATGGCATATGCTGGCTGAGCACTCAGAGTAAGGCTTAAACACATCTTTGCAGTGCTGGCATTAAATCCAGGCTTTCACATGCTTGGCAGGTGCTTTACCTCTGAGCTGCACCCCAGCCTTGACCTGGGTATCTGGGTGAGCCCCTCATGGAAGTGAGGGTTGTTTCAGCTAGAAGCACTCCATGACACTCTGCTGACTGTATGGCACGGCCAGTTTATGATGGTTTCCCAGAAGCCATGTTTGTGACTTTGTAGACTGTAGACTTACTTTGTTAAGGATGTCCACCAGGACGTTTGTTACTAGCTGGTTCGTGGTGCACTATAGGGAGTCAGTCTTTTACTTTTCATTTTTTCTTTCTTAAGAAGCATACCTCGTGTTATTATCAGGGCTGGACATGGCAGCTGCCATCTTGAGGCAGAGCAGGAGTAAGACGCAGGCGATCTTCCCAAGTTTGGTTTATTAAAATTCTCAGAGTGAGCAATGAGGTTCCCTAGGGTTCTGAGGCTCCTCCTCTTCCCAGAGAGACCATGTGCCATTGTGTCAGAGGCAAATGGTTGTCTAGGATGGCACTTCTCTTTGATGCAGCTACCTGTGATTGGACCATGCTCCTGTAAATGGATCCATGGAAACATGACTGCTTCACCTTTGGTCTGACAATGCCTTCCCTATCTGGAGTGAGTAGATGTTTCTCTACTCAAGGACCATGCAATAACCTGCTAAAATGGGGAGAACCTTTTTCAGGACTGCTGACGCTGACCCCACTTTCCATTGCCTAACATGAGAGACTCAGCAGGTAACACCGCTGAGTCTATGACCTACAAAATTTGTTCATTTATTTAACTAATATATATAACATATGTGTGTATATATAGCACATATGTACACATATATATGTATAGCATACAGTGTGTGTGTGTATGAGAGAGAGAGAGAGAGAGAGAGAGAGAGAGAGAGAGAGAAAGCTGTGTGCAGATGCGCACAGAGGCCAGAAGAGGGCACTCATTCCTTGGAACCAGAGAACTATTGTTCTGAGCTGCCTGACATGGGTGCTGGGAACAAAATTCAGGTCCTCTAGAAGAACATATATTTTTTGGTTTAATTTTGGTGGGTTACATGTGTTCAGAACTTTATGCATTTCTTTTAGATTTTCTAATTTAGTAGACTATAGGTTTTCAAAGTATGCCCCTGTGGTCTTTGAATGTAATTGGTTCCCATAGGCTCATAGGGAGTGGCACTATTAGGAGGCGTGGCTTTGTTGAAGAGGGTATGCCTTGTTGGAGGAAGTGTGTCACTTTGGGGGCAGGCTTTGAAGTTTTCTATGCTCAGGATACTGCCTAGTGTCTCATTCCCTTCCTGTTGCCTGAAAGATGCAGGACTCAGAGCTACTCTAGCACCATGTATGCCTTCAGGCTGCCATGCTCCCACCCCAATTAAATGTTTTCCTTGTAAGAGTTGCCTTGGTCATGGTGTCTCTTTACAGCAATAAAAACCATACTGAAACAACTCCCAAACAGCTTCTTATCTCATCAGCTGTCTGAATGTTAAAGTCAGTCAGTAATTGTGTTGAGATCAGTTTGTGCCCTTCCATCTTAAATGAGGGGCTCACCCAGATATCCAGGTCAAGGCTGGGGTGCAGCTCAGAGGTAAAGCACCTGCCAAGCATGTGAAAGCCTGGATTTAATGCCAGCACTGCAAAGATTAAGCACATCTTTGAGTGCTCAGCCAGCGTATGCCATGGCTAACTGTTCTGTCCAAACTGACTCGCCCTAACTTGGAAGCTCCTGCTTCATCCTGGTTAATCTCCCTTGAAATTCAGTGCTTTAGGCTACACAAAGAAACACTGTCTTGAAAAGCAAACAAAAACCCACTCCAAAACCAAACAAAAACACACACACACAGAGAAAGAGAGAGACAGATGAGGGAGTGGGGGCAGGGGGGGTTTGGGTAGATAGGGAAGGAGAGAAAGCTGGGAAGACTTAGGGGATTGAAAGAATATGATAAACATATACTGTACAAAATTCTCAAAGAATAAACAAATAGAAAATCCTCCGAGGTTTTCTCTTTCAGACACTGGGCTTCTGAGAGGTGTGTCTGCTAACCTTCCTCAAGCCCCGGTCTTGAATAAACCTGTCTCCTCCACTTTGATACAGTTTTTTTTTCTTTTTTTGTTTTGTTTTGTTTTTTGAGACAGGGTTTCTTTGTAGCATTTGGAACTTGTCCTGGAACTCACTCTGTAGACCAGGCTGGCCTCGATCTCACGGAGATCTGCCTGTTTCTGCCTCCTGAGTGCTGGGACTAAAGGCGTGCACCACCACTGCCCATTGTACTTGATACATCTAAGTCACCTCAGAAAATCATCTCAATGAGAGATTGTCTCGAGCAGGTTGGCCTGTGGTCCTGTCTCTGGGAGATAGTCTTGTTCATGTTAACTAACAGTGGGCAGCAGCAGCCTAGTTTTGGGACCTGCACTATGGAAGAGCAGAGCTGTTGAGTGCAATAGCATGCACGCAGGTCTTCCTTTCTCTATTTTGACTTGGGTATGGTTGCCTGCTTCAAGTTCTTGCTTTGCTTTTCCCAGGATCACAAACTGTAACTTCAATAGGAAGCCCTCAAGCCCCCTCCTCCTCAAAGTGATTTTTGTTGGGTACTTTATTAAAACTTATTGGGTACTTTATTAAAACAACAAAATGGAACAAGGACACCATTCATTTCTGATTTTGTTTTAGTTTTTGGTGGAAGCCATGGGTAGTAGAGCCTCCACCCCTGATAACAACTTCATTGAGGTTTGTATGTGCCAAACTTTCTTGGTAATACCGGTGAAACACACACGGGGGTTTTATATCAATGATATTACAATAAAGCTTTTCCAAGACTGGAATTGAGGGCCATGCATTTGTCACATGGACAGAGAAAGGCTGTGTAGTCTGAGATTGCTGAATTCTGGTGTGTGCTAAAATGTTGGCATCTCCACTAATGAATGAATAAATTGATGGTAATGCACGGATAAGTGATTTTAGACTGCACAACTGAAAAATGTCAGAGTAATTTTTGTCTGGTCACATATTGACCAGCTCCCATTTTGTCTGTGCTCTGGCTGTACAGGGGCCCTTTCCTCAACATCCATGAGAGAGAGATGCATCTCAGCCCTTTCTTCCCATTGCCACAGGAAAAGTCGGTCAAATGGGAGTCCCACAGGGGGTCTGATGCTCAGCACTTGCTCTCTCCTGGCATCTAAACTTAAAACTCCATCCTTCTCTAGCACTGTCCCCTGGGGAACCTCCTGCAAGAGCAATAACATTACACAAACTAGAAGCAGCTAAACAGTGTTTATTATTTGTCTGTTGGCAGAACAGTTATGTCTCATTTTAATGTCTGTGGAGGTAGAGAGGAGCCTGACGCCCTAGGAGAAAGACCCGCTTCCCTGCTCATCTGCTTCCTTGCCACAACAGGGGTGCTGGCCATGTCTAAGATGGTCCAGGTCCTGGCTGGGGGGCAGCACTGGCAGAACTCCTGATTGGTTTCATGTGCCTCTTGGTGGAAACAGTACCATCCAAACCATGTCTCCGAGTCCTAGAGGTGACGAACTTTACAGGGGAGGTATTTGGGACAATGGCAGAGTTGATACCGTGCGAAGGGCTGGCATCTTGGGGTTGGAAGAGAGCAGCTAACGTGTGTTTTCTTTGCATCTCTTCTCTGAAATTCTTTTCATTCTTCAGCATCTCCACGATGTCCTTGTCAGGTATGTGGGGTATTTCATGTCTCAGGTAGCTTTTAATCAGTTCAGTCACTTTGGGGCCAATGCAGCATTTTTTGGATTTGCAGTTCTGTACCTCGATTTCTTTGGCAAGGCAGCTGTCTTTGCATTTCCCAAAGCCCAGTATACATTTTTTCATGCCCACAAATGCTGCATGGGGGAGAGAGAGGGAAAGCACTGGGTCAAGGTTAATCATTAGAGATGATGTTCAGACTGCTGGTGGGAGAGGGTTAGAGTGAGAGGAGTTTGTCCACCTTCGGGAACAGTGTTTGATGATGGTGGCGCCTTGGGGCAGACCTGGAAAGTCAGCGTACACTGTGGAGCCCAAAGGAAATCTCTTGTTCAGTCTCCTTTCCTTGAGTAACTTTAAAAATCAGAGAGTTGAGGGCTTGGTGGTGCATGCCTTTAATCCCAGCACTTGCGAGGCAGAGACAGGCAGATTTCTATGAGTTTGAGGCCAGCCTGGTCTTCACAGTAAGTTCCAGACTAGCCAGAGCTATACAGTAAAACCCTGTTTCAAATTTAAAAGCATTCAAGAATGGGCTGGGGAGATAGCTCGGTTGGTAAAGTGCCCTGCAAGCATAAGGAAGTGAGCTCAATACCAAGAATCTATATCCAAAGACAGGTGTGGTAGTATGTGTGGGAATACAGAGGCAGACAGGTCCCTAGGCTTCCCTGGCCAGCCAACCTAACCTGATTGGGGAGTCTCAGGCCAATGGGAGACACTGTCTTAAAACAAAACAAAACAAAACAAACAAACAAACAAACAAAAAAACCAAGATAAATGAGTCAGGCTACAGTGGTCCAGCCTTTAATCCCAGCACCAGGGAGGTAGAGGCAGGTGGATCTCTGTGACTTTGAGGTCAGCCTGGTCTATGTGAGAGAGTTCCAGGACAGTCAGGGCTACACAGAGAAGCCCCGTCTCAAGAAGAAAACAAAGCAACAAAAACAAGGTGAATGGTATCTGAGGATACCACACACACACACCAAGGCTATAAAGAGGAAGGAAAGATAGGAAACTCAAGTACTTGATTTCAGAATCTCCCTCCCTCCCTCCCTCCCTCCCTCCTTCCCTCCCTCTCCTTCCTTTTTGTTTGGTGATACAGGGATTTGGGGCAATCGCTTTCCCCCTGAGCTATACCCCCAGCCCTAAGGCAGCATTACTGACTTCCAATCTTGCATTATCTACACCAGCAGACCCTTCTATCCCCTTCTATAATCCTACAAAATAACAAAGTCAATAAAACCTGCCATACACCTAATCCAGGAAAAGAGTCACAGTTACAATTTTAACATATGCCAGCTGTGTACATTAACGAATTCAGTGTGAGATTTCAGCACATGCATTCACAATGTGTGCTATCAAAGCAAGCCTTCCTTTGTCCAAGCTCGGGCAGTCACTAGTGTATTCAGCGTCACTATTTCTTTTAACTTCCACATGAGACAGTATGCAGTATTCTTCTCTCTGTGTGGTCACAGGGAAGAACGAAATAATAATTCGCAAGAAAATAAGTGGAATGGAGGGGCTTATATTAAGTAAGATAAACCAAGAAAGAATTTTAAAATAAAATTAATAGGATTTTCAGAGGTGTCTTCTTTGAAGCCCATGACCTTTGACCTTCCCGTCAATCACTAGACCCGTGGTTCCTGGGACTTGGCATTCTGTCACTTCTGGCTTCTAGAATCTCTGTCCATCAGAGATTTATTTGTTACTGTTATTATCTCTAGCTCAATTGCCCACAGGTCTTCATCTTCATCTGTTGAAGATCATTTCCAAAGGTTAAAGCACCTATAACAACCTCCGCAAGATTGACAACATCCTGCTGTTCTCCCTGAGAACCTTTAGGTAGCTAAGGATGGTTGGGGAAAGAGAGAGATTTTCTTCTATGGTGTAGCCACTGATTAAGTTGCTCGTGTTCCTGTAAATAGCCCATGGCCCATGCTTCTAAAAGCAAAGCTAATAAAATTCACTGTACCACCACCAAAAAAAAAAAAAAAAAAAAGCCATGAAGTTAGAAAGGGGACTATTAGGGAGCAGAGAGCAGAGAGGAGTGGGGGTAATCAGGAGTGGGAGGGGCCAGAGAGGGTGGGGAGTTAGAACACACTCCATACTTATGGAGACATAATGGAATCCAATTATTATATATAGTGAATATATGTTAATAAAACATAGTTTCAAAGGCTATTTTCACATATGTATTTGTTTTGTTATTCTCATACATCATCACTATAAAACACAAACATTTCAGGACTAGAAACAGTCACATTGATTTGTCCATTACACAGGTGTCAGTTTTGAAGCTCGACATGCTTAAGTGACTTGTCTATGTTCCCAACATAAAAACATTACAAACATCTTTGACTATTTCCTTTGTCTGATTCATTACGATTATTCCAAGTAGGTGGGTGTTTCTTGTTCTCAGAAACAGCCTCTGTCTTTTTCCTTGTCCTGTCATTTGCTATCATGGGTCCCCAGACACCCACATGGGGCAGTTGGAGGGTTTCCAGGACAGAGACTGGGAGAAATTATAAGACCCCTGGAGAAGCTGACATGGAGACATAGACCTGCTTACTAAATTCTGAAAAGGTTTTTGAATACAGAGGCAGGGATTTCACCCTTTGTACACAGAAATCCACACCAATGGAACCTTTGCGTTAAGAGATGGTTTTGGTTGGGGCTGGGGAGAAAGCTCAGGGGGGAAAACACTTGCTGTGCAAGCATGAGGAACTGAGCTCTGCTCTCTAAAGTCCATGTAAAGCCAGGTGCAGTGGTGCAGGCCTCTACAGTCCCAGTGTTCCTACAGTGCAACAGGATGTGGAGACAGGAGAATTCCCAGAAGCCCATGGGCCAGCAAGCTGGTGCACACAGTGACAACCAAAGACCCTGTCTCAAACAAAATGGAAGGGAAGGACTGACATCCGATGTTGTCCTCACACCAACCACCCCGAAAGCCAGGAGCGCACATTACCTGGTTTCACCTGATACTGTAGCATGAGGCTGGCAATGAGAGGAAAAAGGAGCTTCATGGCTGGATGTTAGAAAAGAAGCTTTGGATCTGGGTTGGTGTTCTTGAGCTCTGGCCTTTATTGGGCTCTTCATGGCCTTGGGCCATGAGCAGTGAAGTGCAGCTAAAACAGGTCTGTGTGTTGCTCAAAGGAGCCAAATTTTCTCTGATTCTATTTGATAAATTTATCAGCAAATTTCTATGTGTTGCTACTCTTTGTCTTGGGAACATAAAATATCTAAGACAAGAAAGAAAGGATGCTCTTTATACTTCTTGTTCTTTTATTTGAAAGATTCTGTTTTTCATTTTAAACATATGTGTATGTGTCTGGGTGCAGGTTTGTGTACATGAGTACAGTGCCCTCAGAGGCCAGAAGAGGACATTGGATACCCTGGAGCTGGCGTTAAAAGTGGGTGTGAGCAGGGGGGGGGGTCTAGGCCCTAGCCCAAAGGATATGACAGGCTTTGAAGACCCCCTCCTATGGAAGACCTCACCCTCCCTGGGGAGCAGAAAGGGTATGGGATAGGTAGGGTGTTAGTTGCGGGGAGCAGGGGAGGAGGGGAGGGAGAGGGAACTGGGATTGACATGTAAAACAATCTTGTTTCTAATTTAAATGAAAAAATGGAGAAAAAAATAAAATTATTTTTAAAAAAGTGGGTGTGAGTCTTGGGTGCTGGGAACAGATCTCCTGTTCTCTGCAACACAGAATGAGCTCTTAACCACTGAGCTGTCTCTCCAGCCCCACACTTCCTGTTATTAACACTGGACCAGGGCAAGTGTAACTGTATCCGGAGCTCCAGTCAAAGGAAGCAGGCTAGAGAGGAGATGGACCCACAGCATAGGTACTTCAAATAGGGAGCTGTGCTTTTCAAGTCTAGGCCTGCAGATGTTTGACCTTCTGCATGCTGAGTTGAGACGAGCATCAGGAATGCTCATGAAGCTAGAGGTAGCCCCAAATGTAAACATGGAAAGACATAATTACTTCCACAGCTGATGTGTGGGCAGGCCACACTTTCCCCAGGAGTTGGATGTTAGATGACTGGTATGATTAATATTATGCATTACTCATTGTCTGAGCATGGTATAGACAGCAACAAATTCGAGTTACTGACTTCGTAGACTTGACTGCATCTTCCATATTTGAAAGGAGCCCAATCTGGCTATTGACAAGACCCAATTTCCCGGCTCTCAGTCTCATAACTCAGTTACTTCTGCTTCAAAATATTTACCACAGAGTTCATTTCTTCTACAGAAAGGATGCAATTTGGACTAGAGAAATGGCTCAGTGGTCACAAATGAATACTGCTCTTCCAGAGGACCAGGTTCAATTCCAAGCATCCGCATGGCAACTCACAACTGTCTGTAACTCCAGTTCCAGGGCATGCAACACCTTCTTCTGGCCTCTGTGGGCACCAGGCACACATGAGGTACACAGATACACATGGAGGCTCTCCTAGTCTGTGTATGTATATGTCTCTGAGCTTGGAACTCAGTCCAGAGCACGCTCATGTGAGAGCTATTTTTATTTTTATTTTTTTATTGTGAGAGCTATTTCTGACTTAGTCATCCTGTATATTTTTAAAATCTCTCTCTCTGTGTGTGGGGACTAATATAGTGTAGTGTGTGTGTGTGAGAGAATATACAATCACTTGAGTAATTTTTTTCTTGTATTTATTTATTTTTGAGACACAGTTTCTCTGTGTACCTCCAGCTCTCCTGGAACTGGTTTTGTAGACCAGACTGGCCTTGAACTCACAGAGATCTGCCTGCCTCTGCCTCCTGAGTGCTGGGGTTAAAGGCTTGTGCCACTGGCTTCTTTTTTTATGGCAATTTATACTTTATTTTGTGTAGTATTCACATATAAGTTTTTCCATCTTTTGTTGAGAGCATCAACTTGCAGATTTCTAGGCTCCTAAGAGTCTTTTGAACTACACACTCATGATGACAGACAATGATGTAATGGGTGTGTTAGTCACTTTTCTTATGCAAGACAAAAAAAAAAAACTTAACAAAGAAGGGAGAGTTTATCTCTACATGATATCTAAAGTTTCAGTTCATTACTTGGTGACACCATTGCTTTGGATCTGAGGTGAGGCAGCACACCCTGGATGGGAGTTTTTTTTTTTTTTTTTTTTCCGAGACAGGGTTTCTCTGTGGCTTTGGAGGCTGTCCTGGAACTAGCTCTTGTAGACCAGGCTGGTCTCGAACTCACAGAGATCCTCCTGCCTCTGCCTCCCGAGTGCTGGGATTAAAGGCGTGTGCCACCAATGCCCGGCCTGGATGAGAGGCTTTGATGGAAGGAAGCTATTCACATCAAGGCAGCCAGAAAGCAGAGTACAGAGAGAAATACATCACTGAAGGGCTTCTTCCTCCTTTTAGGGTCCCAGCATATGGTTCAGGCCCATTCGCACTCCATGGAGTTCTTTCCACACAGCATTCATTTCACTCAGCGAAATCCTCTCAGGTACACTCAGGTACCTTACCTACCTTCCATCATTCAACTCAGTCAACCTGACCATGGGGATTAACCATTGCAGATATCAGTCATAGGTATCAGGTATCTTTAAGGTTTTTGGAGGCAAGGTCACACAAAGCCAGGGTGACTTTGGAGTTACCATGTAGTTGGGACTCTCCTTATCCTCCTAAATCTCCTTCCTCTACCTGACAGGTGCTGGTGTTACAGTGAGTGCTGCCACACCAGACAGAATCCATTTTAAATCATGAACTGAAAGGTCCTCCTTCACGGGAGAAATGTCAACACCATAAAAGGAACTTCCTTTAAAGAGGAAGTTACATTACAAAGATTATAGTCTCCAGCTCCCTGTCATGGCTGGGTTGCTCTATCTACATCCAGGGATCCTAATTTTCAGATACCCTGTATCACTAACCTTAATGTTTGACTGTTTAAATGAATGGATGGTAAAGAGAAAGTTGTGGGACAATGAGAATATTCTATTTCTTGAATACTGTAATGTTTGTACAATGGCACTCAAAACAAATTCACAAGAAATTCAAAAATGGTAAGATGATTTATAAATATCCCCAACACAAATAAATGTTGAATATTTGAAGGGATAGCACACCTACTATCCTGTTGCAATCACTGTACATTGAATACATACATTGAACCATCACATAAATGCCAAAATATGTACAAATATCTGTACTAATTAAAAAGAAATTCTATGTGAATTATAACTCAATAAACCTTATTGCGAAATCAAAAAACACAGTAATTCATTGAAGATAAAACTACACATAAAAAGACATAAATACACAGATTTCTTCTTTTGCTCTGTCCTACAGTTTATGTTGTTTTGTTTGTATTTGTTTTCACATTTCATATAGATATGAGATGTCCATATGCTCTTTGTTTTCTATCTCTCCACTCTTTCTGACATCAACTGTAACTTTGTTCATGGACCTTTCCTTAGGAGCAATGATTTAGCTGAATTCCCTGGCCTTCTGTGGATATGTCAAAGTAGAATGAAGGACACAGATCTCCTGGCTATCTTTTTTTGTTTTGTTTTTTGTTTTTCGAGAGAGGGTTTCTCTGTGGCTTTGGAGGCTGTCCTGGAACTAGCTCTTGTAGACCAGGCTGGCCTCGAATTCACAGAGATCCACCTGCCTCTGCCTCCCGAGTGCTGGGATTAAAGGCGTGCGCCACCAACGCCCGGCCTCTCCTGTCTATCTTTAAATTATCACTCTCCCCTGTTTTGTCTGAAAGAACACATGGCAGCAGCCTACCTGGTTTCTTTCAAAAACTTTTCCAGCAGCACACATCTATCTGTCATCATGACTTCTGGAAAGTTCAGGAGGCTTATGACTGAAATAACAAGTTGCATATTTCAGAAATTTTCCTTCAGTGTTTTCAGTCCATGGTTTATGATTTCCTTTAATATTTTCAGTCCATGGTTGCCAGCATTAAAAATAGAGCCACAAATACATGTAGACTAGTTCACTGCAATTCCCATTCATGCTGGAAGTAGATGACGCAATGCTTCCTCTAAAAGCTCGGAATTTCTGAGATGCTTTATATGAACATCTGGTTTGTTTTAAATCCCAATTGTTTTTATCTCTGGTCCATGAGTTGGAGAGTCCATCAGTTTTAGAGTTGTGTAGCTGGTGAAACACAGTGGGTACCTCTGATGAGAGGAATGTCTCTCTAGATATTTAGCATACAGCGGAGATTAGGCTCAATCAGTGAGAACAGTATCCAAAGTGATGACTGTTTCCTTAGACCAGACCCAGGTACTTAGGTGGCAATGCTGAGAAGATGCCCTCTGATGAGGAGTAATAGAGATGAAATGTAACTTAGAAATCAGCACTGGCATCTGTGGTTCTCTACTGAATCCTCAGACAGAATTCCGTCCCTCCGTCCCTCCCTCCCTCCCTCCCTCCCTCCTACCGTTTGTGTGTGACTCTTGTGTACATGTGTGTGCATGGGGATGGAGGCCATAGGTACTGTGTAGGGGTTTCACACTGGCCTGGAACTCACCAAGTAGGCTAGCTGTGCAGAGAGCTCCAGACACCCACCTATCTTTCTGTCTTCCTCAAAAGTGCAGTCCACCATACTTGGCTTTTTAAAAAACGTGGGCTCTGGGCATTAAATTTGGGTTCTCATGCTTGCAAGGTAAACATTAAACCAATTGAACTATCTCTCCATTCCCCCAAAGGGCTCTTTCTTGTCCCCGTTGATCTTAGAGTGGCATGGTCAGTGGGTAGTTTGGGCTGGGGACACGGCAAAGTGATTCCTGTGCAAATATGGGGGCCTGCGTTTGTTCCCCAGCACCATCATAACAGAGCTGAATGTGGATGGCATGTGTTTATAATCCTAGCACTGGGGAGGGTCGGGGAGACAGGAGGAGCCGGGACCCCCACTGGCCAGTCAGCCTAGACGAATTGGCAAGTCCTGGCTTCAAGGGTCTCTGTGGCCTTCAGTAAGACTGCATGCAGTTCAGTGCTAGACTCAGTAGCTGGTATTGATTGGTTCAAACTTTGAAAGTCTGACCCCTAGTGGTT